ATCACTTTTTTAGGGACAGCCAAGGTTTAAAAATCGCATAACTTTGTCAAAAATGCATTAATTTCAATTCGGAAAGCGTTTCTGTGTTAGTTGCTTCGCGCTTAACAAATCTGCATACTAAATTTAACTTTTTAGGGGATAATTTTTTTTTTTAGATTTTTGCGATGCAACCCCTTGAATTTTTTTCAAAAAATTGAAAATGTCTGTTTTGCTACCTGAAGTGGCCAAAACGATTCGTCTGTTAATGCTGATCAAGAATATATATGATTTATAGGGTCGGAAATGGCTCCTTCACTGTTAAAAATTATATTTTCCTCCGCAAGATTCCTGAAATTGCCATTTTTATTCGATAATTTTTTTTAGCACGATTTGTTTACATCACTTTTTTAGGGACAGCCAAGGTTTAAAAATCGCATAACTTTGTCAAAAATGCATTAATTTCAATTCGGAAAGCGTTTCTGTGTTAGTTGCTTCGCGCTTAACAAATCTGCATACTAAATTTAACTTTTAGGGGATAATTTTTTTTTTAGATTTTTGCGATGCAACCCCTTGAATTTTTTTCAAAAAATTGAAAATGTCTGTTTGCTACCTGAAGTGGCCAAAACGATTCGTCTGTTAATGCTGATCAAGAATATATATGATTTATAGGGTCGGAAATGGCTCCTTCACTGTTAAAAATTATATTTTCCTCCGCAAGATTCCTGAAATTGCCATTTTATTCGATAATTTTTTTAGCACGATTTGTTTACATCACTTTTTTAGGGACAGCCAAGGTTTAAAAATCGCATAACTTTGTCAAAAATGCATTAATTTCAATTCGGAAAGCGTTTCTGTGTTAGTTGCTTCGCGCTTAACAAATCTGCATACTAAATTTAACTTTTTAGGGGATAATTTTTTTTTTAAGATTTTTGCGATGCAACCCCTTGAATTTTTTTCAAAAAATTAAAAAAGTCTGTTTTGCTACCTGAAGTGGCCAAAACGATTCGTCTGTTAATGCTGATCAAGAATATATATGATTTATAGGGTCGGAAATGGCTCCTTCACTGTTAAAAATTATATTTTCCTCCGCAAGATTCCTGAAATTGCCATTTTTATTCGATAATTTTTTTTAGCACGATTTGTTTACATCACTTTTTTAGGGACAGCCAAGGTTTAAAAATCGCATAACTTTGTCAAAAATGCATTAATTTCAATTCGGAAAGCGTTTCTGTGTTAGTTGCTTCGCGCTTAACAAATCTGCATACTAAATTTACTTTTTAGGGGATAATTTTTTTTTAGATTTTTGCGATGCAACCCCTTGAATTTTTAGGGATAATTTTTTTTTATTTTGCGATGCAACCCTTGAATTTTTTCAAAAAATTGAAAATGTCTGTTTTGCTACCTGAAGTGGCCAAAACGATTCGTCTGTTAATGCTGATCAAGAATATATATGATTTATAGGGTCGGAAATGGCTCCTTCACTGTTAAAATTATATTTTCCTCCGCAAGATTCCTGAAATTGCCATTTTTATTCGATAATTTTTTTTTAGCACGATTTGTTTACATCACTTTTTTAGGGACAGCCAAGGTTTAAAAATCGCATAACTTTGTCAAAAATGCATTAATTTCAATTCGGAAAGCGTTTCTGTGTTAGTTGCTTCGCGCTTAACAAATCTGCATACTAAATTTAACTTTTTAGGGGATAATTTTTTTTTTAGATTTTTGCGATGCAACCCCTTGAATTTTTTTCAAAAATTGAAAATGTCTGTTTTGCTACCTGAAGTGGCCAAAACGATTCGTCTGTTAATGCTGATCAAGAATATATATGCTTTATAGGGTCGGAAATGGCTCCTTCACTGTTTAAAATTATATTTTCCTCCGCAAGATTCCTGAAATTGCCATTTTTATTCGATTATTTTTTTTAGCACGATTTGTTTACATCACTTTTTTAGGGACAGCCAAGGTTTAAAAATCGCATAACTTTGTCAAAAATGCATTAATTTCAATTCGGAAAGCGTTTCTGTGTTAGTTGCTTCGCGCTTAACAAATCTGCATACTAAATTTAACTTTTTAGGGGATAATTTTTTTTTTAGATTTTTGCGATGCAACCCCTTGAATTTTTTTCAAAAAATTGAAAATGTCTGTTTTGCTACCTGAAGTGGCCAAAACGATTCGTCTGTTAATGCTGATCAAGAATATATATGGTTTATAGGGTCGGAAATGGCTCCTTCACTGTTAAAATTATATTTTCCTCCGCAAGATTCCTGAAATTGCAATTTTTATTCGATAATTTTTTTAGAACGATTTTTTTACATCACATTTTTAGGGACAGCCAAGGTTTAAAAATCGCATAACTTTGTCAAAAATGCATTAATTTCAATTCGGAAAGCGTTTCTGTGTTAGTTGCTTCGCGCTTAACAAATCTGCATACTAAATTTAACTTTTTAGGGGATAATTTTTTTTTTTAGATTTTTGCGATGCAACCCCTTGAATTTTTTCAAAAAATTGAAAATGTCTGTTTTGCTACCTGAAGTGGCCAAAACGATTCGTCTGTTAATGCTGATCAAGAATATATATATGATTATAGGGTCGGAAATGGCTCCTTCACTGTTAAAAATTATATTTTCCTCCGCAAGATTCCTGAAATTGCCATTTTTATTCGATAATTTTTTTTAGCACGATTTGTTTACATCACATTTTTAGGGACAGCCAAGGTTTAAAAATCGCATAACTTTGTCAAAAATGCATTAATTTCAATTCGGAAAGCGTTTCTGTGTTAGTTGCTTCGCGCTTAACAAATCTGCATACTAAATTTAACTTTTTAGGGGATAATTTTTTTTTTTAGATTTTTGCGATGCAACCCCTTGAATTTTTTTCAAAAAATTGAAAATGTCTGTTTTGCTACCTGAAGTGGCCAAAACGATTCGTCTGTTAATGCTGATCAAGAATATATATGATTTATAGGGTCGGAAATGGCTCCTTCACTGTTAAAAATTATATTTTCCTCCGCAAGATTCCTGAAATTGCCATTTTTATTCGATAATTTTTTTTAGAACGATTTTTTTACATCACATTTTTAGGGACAGCCAAGGTTTAAAATCGCATAACTTTGTCAAAATGCATTAATTTCAATTCGGAAAGCGTTTCTGTGTTAGTTGCTTCGCGCTTAACAAATCTGCATACTAAATTTAACTTTTTAGGGGATAATTTTTTTTTTAGATTTTTGCGATGCAACCCCTTGAATTTTTTTCAAAAATTGAAAATGTCTGTTTTGCTACCTGAAGTGGCCAAACGATCCGTCTGTTAACGCTGATCAAGAATATATATGGTTTATAGGGTCGGAAATGGCTCCTTCACTGTTAAAAATTATATTTTCCTCCGCAAGATTCCTGAAATTGCCATTTTTATTCGATAATTTTTTTTTAGCACGATTTGTTTACATCACTTTTTTAGGGACAGCCAAGGTTTAAAAATCGCATAACTTTGTCAAAAATGCATTAATTTCAATTCGGAAAGCGTTTCTGTGTTAGTTGCTTCGCTTAACAAATCTGCATACTAAATTTAATTTTTTTAATCCTAATGTTTTGCGATGCAACCCCTTGAATTTTTTTCAAAAAAATTTTGAAAGCGTTCCTGTGTGAGGCGCTTAACAAATCTGCATACTAATTTAATATTTAAAAAATCCATAATTTTTGTTCAATTTTTGGAGATTTTAAAATTCGTTAAAGTTGTGCAAATTTTGAACAATTTTTTAAATTAGTAAACAAAGTATGAAGAATTTGTAACCTGTTAAAAACTAGCACAGGAAAGATATTTAACAAAACTTTGATTTACCCAAAAAATTAGCACATAAAATGATCGATTTAATATACATAAAAAGCACATAACTTAGGTTTTCTGGATGGTATACGAAGGCCTAGAAGTCAGAGATTGCAAAAATCCATATATGTATATATATTTCGATTTGCAATTAAAATCTTCGAATCTAAATTGGCTTTATTTCTTGTTTCAGTCAAGAATACCAGCAGTTTAGCAGTATCCCCTTTCCTATATACAAATATATTTATACATGTCTTAATTTTCAGGTTATTAATTTTTAAACACCAAATTTGATCTCCTAATTGTCACTTTCGCACACAAACACACATTGTGTTTCTTCAAATTGGATCGTAGATACTATTGACAGGGAAAGCTATGGTTTTACAACTTAATCGATTATTATTGGGAAGGAAATGTACTCATCTGCTAATTGCCAATGAATGACGGAGGTGGGTGTACAGATACAATAGTGTTTTTGGAAAAAAACACATTTTGGAATTTGAACATGCCACTTTAGGTCTAGAGTTACATATATATGTGGGTTTTACAGAGTCTGCTAGTAGCTTCAGTTATCGTGAAATCCCCTTGAATCGTACAATTAGCCCTTTGTTGCTATCAAAATTGTTAAACACAACTTCCTGTGGAAAGAAACTCATTACCAATACAACTTGGATGCTTGAAATATTTTAAAGCAATTTCCTACAGTTCAGTTACCTGTAATTAATAATTTTGTAATTTGTTACAAAACTCTTTTATATGCATCAGGCTTATCACCATTGTTTCGCACCTAACACATGTACGTATTCTTGGTATGCTTATGGAAACGCTTCCGATTGTAATTGATATATATTTTGCGATGGTTTTTAGGAAATGCGATCAGGCAGGCCTTTGTGTTAATATGAGCCGTTGAGCGTCTGTTTTATATTTATATTTTTATTTTTCTTCTTTTTATTTAAGCTTATCGAGTGCTGCAGCAGCAGCAGCGCCGGGCTTTGTTGCCGGGAGAGGCGAGCTGCCCGTCTCTCTACAATATCTACACACCGATCGTGAGTATACACCTTGTATTCGCACACCCGCACACTCCGTGTGTGTGACTGCGGTGTGCGGTGTGTGGTGTGCGGTGCTCTGCCGACCGAGGCAGCGGTTGTGCCGCTCGATGCGGCTACTACTTGCCCAGCGAACGTTTTAGTTTCCGAGTTTAGCTCAACGCCGCTGGTTTGGCTTTGGGTTTTGGGATTTTTTTCCCGATTGACACGCACACACAGTACACACAGTCCACGGCTCGTTAAGCCGTCGTAGTTGCCGCAGCACAAGTGCCTTTAATTCAATTCTTCCACCCCCAAAGAGCCCACCCGCTGTCCGTCATGTCGACCTAGCCATCGGAGGAACAGCTTCCAAGTGTCCAGATACCAAAACTCACTACTAGATTGGCCGAAAACGAAAGGAGTCGACGTATAACAAATAACACACCTGCCCAGCCAGCCTAGCGAGTCTCAGGTAAAAGCTAATGGGAAAGCCCAATTGGAGGGGGCGAAAAGCGGGCGGGGATTCCCACAAATAATTTGAATATGTGACTTGTCAAAGCGATGTGCGTGTGCCAGTGTCTCTCAGTGTGTGTGGAGTCTTTTTTTTGTGTTTATTTATTTATTTTTTATTTCCTAATTTTATTAACGACATGTAAATTAAATCAAATCTGCGCCATCCGACGGCTCTTTGACTTTCGCTTAGGGTTGTCGAAAGTGTTGAAAAAAGTGTCATAGAAAGTGTTTAAATAGTTTGTTTACATTTTATAATTTATAAATGTTGAAAATATGATATATATATATATGATATAAAATAATATTATAATAATCTTAAAGTAATGATACTTAAGTGTAAAATAAAATTAGACAAAAATATAGAGATAAAATCATAAAACAATATGCAGAATTACATGAAACTTGATTTCATGTAGGATTTCTTATTAAAGGTCTTTTTTCCTAAAAATAACAAGTTATTTGGAAACCTTTTCTATAATTTTCTTATTACATATTAATACTTAAAATTTAAAATCTATAGAGATAAAATCGTTAAACAATATGCAGAATTACATGAAACTTGACTTCATGTAGGATTTCTTATTAAAGGTCTTTTTCCCAAAATAACAAGTTATTTGGAAACCTTTTCTATAATTTTCTTATTACATATTAATACTTAAAATTTAAAATCTATAGAGATAAAATCGTTAAACAATATGCAGAATTACATGAAACTTGATTTCATGTAGGATTTCTTATTAAAGGTCTTTTTTCCTAAAAATAACAAGTTATTTGGAAACCTTTTCTATAATTTTCTTATTACATATTAATACTTAAAATTTAAAATCTATAGAGATAAAATCGTTAAACAATATGCATAATTACATGAAACTTGATTTCATGTAGGATTTCTTATTAAAGGTCTTTCTTCCTAAAAATAACAAGATATTTGGAAACCTTTTCTATAATTTTCTTATTACATATTAATATTTAAAATTTAAAATCTATAGAGATAAAATCGTTAAACAATATGCAGAATTACATGAAACTTGATTTCATGTAGGATTTCTTATTAAAGGTCTTTTTTCCTAAAAATAACAAGTTATTTGGGAACCTTTTCTATAATTTTCTTATTACATATTAATACTTAAAATTTAAAAATATAATGTGAAGACACATCGATCGGATCAATCAATATTAATTTTGGTTCCTAGCTATTTATAGACTTGCTTTTAACATATACATTTCTTTGACAAACTAATAATGCTGAAAAATATACAATAAACCAAATAATAATCAAGAAACTTTAGTAAAGCAAATATCACACAACCCTATAGCTCTAAATCCAAAAATCTTCCAAATTAAATTCCATAATGATCCATTAAAACACAAGATTTCTTTGCATATTTTATTTTCTCTTAAACTAGAATATACATATAATATTTAAAAGGAATTCCTAGACATGTTTCGTTTGTTTGCTTATTTTCTAAGTTCATTTGAATTTTATATAATTAAGTTAGGTCAGGTTATTAACCCAGGCTTTTAGTACAATCTCTGGATTGCTCTGGCAATCCTGCTTTCAATGGACATTTCGCGAACCATTTCCCAAACCATTTGTCAAGCCGAATTAATTATAATTATGGCCTGAATCAATTTACACAAATCGCATTTAATTTATTCTAAGTTTGCTTGTTTTCGGGTTTTCGGGTTTTTGATTTTGCTTTTGTTTTTATTTTTATTTTTTTATTTTTGTGGCGAGATGAGATGAGTCTTTTTGCTGTTGTTTTGATTGTCCAAATTGGTGGCACGTTTATCATTATTTTGATCACTGACTTCTCTGTTTTTTTTTGTATCATATTTTTTTTTTTGTGTGTGACAGTGATTTTTTTTCATCAAGTTTTGTTTTGCTGCCCTGATTCTGGGTTTGTTTTTTTCTCTCTCTCTCTCTCTGTTTTCTCTACTATATTTCTAAAGCCGGAACTTCCGCTCTGCACTAAGAGAAATTACTGTCTACAAATGCTATCCCTATTAAGTAACAATCACATTACAGAGTTTTTTTGCCCAGTGTGCAAATACAAACGAGCTTGAGTGTGTGTCTGTCTGTTTGGTAAACTATTTTTAGCGTTTAACTTTAGCATTGAATAGTGCATAAATAAATTCCATTAAGAAAAGTTGTTCTTTCTTTACTATTATTTATCTTTTTTCTTTCTATTTTTTTTTTTTTTTTTTTTTGATTCTGTGATTTGGCCAGCTAATTGTATTTAATTATTCTCAATTTAGTCAGGGACTAAGGCCGAACTTTATGTCACCGGCAGACTTCGGAGCCGTGTCTTTGTATCCGGATTCGAGTAGCTGTATCTGAATCTGTATCTGTATCTGTATCTGTATCTGTATCTATAGCTTTAGATGTAGCTTTAGTGCCACATTGTACTATATCTGCCGTAGACATGCAATTAATAACGTAAATGGGTAATTTGGGGCGCCAACCATTCGTTCGATACGCTTGTGTGAAAAGTTTTGTCAACCTGCCGCCGGAAATGAGGGAAGCAGTATCTTTCCTCCCCTAAAAAAAACAAAATTACAAGCAAGATTAGAAAATTAAATAATAATACAATAATAAAAATATAAGAAAAAAAACTAATAATAATGGGCACTCGCCAATAGCAATAATAGTAATTGCTGTAATTTCGTCTGCCAGAGGCTTTATCTGTGAATCATATCGTGGGAAGACTCGTAACGGTTACATGCACAGAGAGAAATATTAGGACAATACTGCAACTTAATTCCAATAATTTTAAGCTTAGTTATGCTTTCGATTTCCGACTTGATCCTGAAATTCAATAATAAATTTACCTTCTCGAAGTAAGTTTCCTTTCTGGTTTGTCCTTTAGTAATTATGCCAGCCTTTTCTGTGATAGTAACTCATTTTAATTTAAGATTTCCTTTAAGAAATACTCTTCAATCTGTGTATTTACTTGATTAATGATCACTTCAAAATGGAATTATAAAAATACCATCCATTATTTGTCTAAAATTTCGCCTTAAAAACCAGCTATGACTATGACATATGTCCATTTGCTGAATATATAAGCATTTCCTGGAGTTGCACATGTGTCGATGGCCATCGACTTTTGGTTAGTTAATATGCCACTCAGCCAAAAGGCAGAGACATCAATAACTATATGCAGTCGCATATAGTGCCACATAGTTTGTATATATGTATATATATATAGAAACTATAGTTATAGCTTTCGACGTGACCGATTGGTGACCACAATGACCTCAAATCGGGTTGACGCTCCCCCCTAGATGCAACTTGATTATTTATTTTTTACAACTTTACAACTGGGTTCAATGCACGTCTCTTTGCAATAATTAAGATTTTCTCAATGTAAGAATTTAGATTCAATGTCAAGAGCTCTTTGGCCAAGTCTCAGAAGTCTCAGCAAAACTAGTAATTACAATGACAATGAATCTTAGTTGGTTTTTACACTGGCAGTAATAATTAATTACAAAGAGTTATTAAGTGCTGCAAATGAAATGTAATTAAGAGTAAAGGATATTAATATTAGGCTTTTAAATAATCATAAATTAGTAGGAAAACTTACAAACAGTCATACAAGACTATATATATTCCTCCTCGATTCTTAAATGCTCATCTGTAGCAATTAAAGGCAATTGAGGTAAAAAGCAGACGAGATTTGTTGCTTCTGCTTGAGATAATTAACTATTTAAGAGACAGAGATACAGTAAAGATTCCCCCCCAGTAAAAACAGAAATGAGATAACCAGATATTTGGCATATATATACATATATATAAAAAATACCCAGACGACAGGTGTGTTTGGATAATTATTGTGCATTGTTTTTATTATTCGCAGAATTTGATCATTACTTTTTTTCGGGTTCCACTCTAAGCCAAGTGGGTGGACTTTGTCCAACGCTTTCTATGCGAGTTTTTGGCCAATGAATTTGACTGCGTCATCGCCAGGCGGAAGTTGGGGATTAAAACGGTCACTGATGCACTTTATGGGTCGCTGGGGCTTCGCCTATTCGAATCTGAGTCTGAGTCTGAGTGTGAGTGCGAGTGTGAGTGCGAGTGCGAGTGTGTGAGCACCTGTCAAGGTCAATTAACTTTGCCTAATTTTAGTTAATTTAAATTACTCGCAGGGTAGACAAAGGTATATTGTTTACGGGGCTTGTCAGCGTTTTCAAGTCGATGAAGAGATAATAGAGATCGATATTAGTTATATATATTAAAAGCTTGTTCTTTTATCAGTTAAATTGGGAAATTAATATCAGAGATCAAATTTAGGAATTTACTTACATGAAGCAACAAAAGATCTGGCAAGACCTGGCATTTAATAGTCAACACTCTAATCAATCCTCATTCAAGTAAGCTATCTGTCTGCCAAATATTGAAACATGTACAGTTCTCTGTCTATATAAATATCTATATAATGCAAAGACATAAATCCACAGCCGCAATCGTAATTGTTCTGTAAATTTGAAGACTTGTCGGGGCTTCGAAAATTCGACAAGATAAGGTTAATGCGCTTGGTGAATGGTTAAATGGTTGAAAGGAGGGAGGAATGGTTGGTTGGTTGGTTGGTTGGTTGGTTGGTTGGTTGATTGGATGGATGGATGGATGGATGGATGGATGGTGTGGAATGGCACATGCCTTAAGCTTAAATGTGGCAACAATTGTGTAAACACTTTTGACATTCGCCGAACAAATCGACAACAAATGCACTTGGCAAAACAATTAAAAGCTACATAGTACAACGCAATCGAGTGGAAACCCAAATGAAAAATGAAAACTTCGTAGTCGTCGTTGTCTGGGATTTCCAAAAGAGCCCCGCCCCCCTTTCCCCCTTTCTGGCCATAAGTGGATCGGAGTTTCACTAATTACACCTTGTGTGTGTTATGACATATAGAACTCTGATTCCGTGTTTGGTCTTCAACACGTCGAACTTTTACAAAATTCCAAATGGTACTCTCGCATTATCATGTGTTATCATTAAAGTTACTGATAACACTTCAACAGTTCCTACAGCTAGAGCAAAATAACTACGTTTTCTATATATATTAAGTATCCAAATGGCTAATAATCTTAGTTTCTCCCGCCACAGATCCTTGAAAAATGTCACCCAAGGACGGCAGTTTGGGCGATGCCAAATTTGGCAAATATACGGTCAACCATGCACCGCCTCCTCCAGTGACATCAGAGCAACCATCCGTCAATCCGGGCCAGAATCCAAGCCAGAACCAAAGCCAGGACAAGATCAAGGCCCAGGATAATGGCAAGGAGAAGGAGAGTGCCGGAACAATGCCCGTGAAGCGCACTTGGCGTGAAAAGATCCGCCTGGTGGCCAACAATATCACCGTAGAACCGATCCTGGCCGCCTACATTATGCCCAGTGTGCTCTCCAATCTGGCCACCCAGAACCTCAATCTGGAGAAGGCCTGTCGCGTGAACATGGCCTATGGGGATGAGGTGTGCGATGCCCTCACTCGTCGCCAGACTGCCAATTACACACTGTAAGGATATCAGAGTCTGCTCCAAAGAAGGCTGATTATAATATATGTAACATATATTCCTTGCAGGGAAGAGGAAACCATACAGCAAATGGTGGCTAGAATGGCCGCCTGGAAGACAGTGATCCAGAGTCTGTTCCCCTGCCTGCTGATCCTGTTCTGGGGCTCGTGGAGTGATCGTCATCGCCGGCGAAAGCCCTGCATTCTCATCCCGGTGGTGGGCGAGTTCCTGGGCGTGGTTGGCCTCATGCTCTGTGTCTACTTCGAGCAGGCGCCCATGGAGGCAGCCGCTCTAACGGAGGCCATCTTCCCCTCGCTGAGTGGCGGTTGGTTCACCATGCTAATGGGCGTCTTTAGCTATATAGCGGATATAACCACGGAGGAGGAGCGAACCCTGAGGATTGGCATACTCAATGTCTGCTTCTCGGTGGGTGTGCCCATTGGCATGGCTTTCAGTGGGGTTCTGCTCAAGTGAGTTTATCTGAAAGGGAACTCTGGCTATAAGGATAATAATCATTTCATCCCTCCAGGCAAATTGGTTTCTACGGCGTCTTCTCTATATCGGCTGCCTTCTATGTCATTGCCTTTGTCTATGGCTTCTTCTTTCTGGATGAGCCGGTGGCCCGACCGGAGAAGACTCCCGAGCAGAAGAGCCTCTTGGCTGACTTCTTTGACAAGGAGCATGTGGTGCAGACATTCCGTGTGGCCTTCCAGCGGGGTGAGAATCAACGCCGGAAGCGTGTCATCCTTCTGATGATCGTGGTAATGGTGATCATTGGCCCGTTGCACGGTGAGATGGCTGTGTCGTACCTGTTCACCCGTTTCCGCTTTAATTGGTCAGAGGTGGAGTTTAGTTTCTTCTCCACCTACGCCATGTTCACTGGCCTCATTGGAGTCATCTTCTGTGTGGGTGTGCTTTCGCACAAACTGAACATTGATGATGCTTTGGTGGGTGTGCTGTCCAGCACCTCGAAGATTCTGTCCTCCTTTGTGTATGCATTTGCCACACTGCCCTGGCACATGTATCTGGGCGGTCTGGTGGAGATCTTCAATGGCACAGCCTTTATAGCAATGCGTTCGATAGCCACCAAGCTGGTCTCCAAGGATGAACTGGGCAAGGTGAACTCTCTGTTTGGTGTGGCAGAGGCCCTTATGCCCATGGTTTTTGCCCCTATGTATACCACATTGTATGCAGCCACGCTGCGTGTCCTGCCGGGTGCCTTTTTCCTGCTAGGCGGTGGCCTGACCATGTTCTCTGTGATCATATTCCTGTAAGTGTTAAGTAGCTGCTTCTTTAAAGGATCATTTAACATTATCCTCATCTTTCAGGTGGATGTACCGCTTCCAGGTGAGACAGAGGGGAAAACTGGGCCGCGCGGATGCGGAGCGTGCCTCTGTCAAGGATCCCAATGGCAATATCAATGCCATTGAAGCCTTGGCCCTGGCCAGCGAGGCCAAGGGTCAGATGAATGGCATTGTGGCGAATGTGATACACGAGTCCCTGGAGCATGCCACTGATCCGCATCCGCCGGCTAAGCCAGAGCCGGTGACTGTCGTTGCCACAATCACCACCGAAGGAGGCATTGAGAATCCTGGCTACATACAGGAGGAGGCCAAGGATAAAGCCTAGGCGTTATGGAGCAGAACCTCCTATTCTTGTACATACACACATTTCGTGGGATTAGCCAAGGCAGGGCAGGAGTTGGACAGGATCTCTCTCAAACACATTTCAAATTAATGCATAAATTAATAACAAATTGAAATAGTTGAATTTGGTATCGTTTTCATAATCATTTTTGGCTTCCAGAGAGAGAGAGAGTCACAGCCCGAGTGCTTCTCCCAATCCTGTCCCTGACTCCTCCATTCTTTCCCCGTTCACCTAACCAATGTGTACAATTACAAATATTATCCTTTAATCATATATATTTTTTTTTTGTATTTAGCCTTAAGTCCTACATGTATTTTTTTTGTTATCTTATTCCAATTTGTTATTTTTATAACTACCCTATCCTTTCTCTGTATTATTATTATTGTTATTACTATATTTTTGTGTGTGCCTAGCCCTTAAGCGATCCTTAGAAGTATTGAATAAATGTGTAAAATCGTCCTTGTTATTGAGCACCGTAATCAGTGTTGCTGGCAAACAATTACACACACAAATGAACTGTGTGTGTGTAGAGGATGTGGAGGAGGGAACCCCGGCCTATCGCTCACTTCCGGCACACGCACACGGGTCGGCATCCGGCAGGACGCAGGATATATGTACATATAGGCGGACGGACAAGGACACGGCATGCAATGGCACTCGCACTGAACAATTGGTTTGCTCATGTCGCTGATAATTGTCGACTGCGTTGCACAAAACGGATGCGTTTTGTTGTCGTCCGTTATTGTCGACATTGTTGTCCTTTTTGCGGTGGCCCCCGGTGGCAAAAAAGGATGCGAGTGTATCAACGGCGAGATAAGTTCAGAATCGCCATTGCCCATCGCAGGACCTGCTGCTAATGATGGGCGTGTGAGAGGGGCGAAACACAGCACCGAAATTTCAGGCAAAAACAGGATTTGCCGCAGGCACAGCTTAGATCTAATTGATGTGGAAATATATATACTACACTTTTATACTAACTATATATGGTATGATATAGTACTAAATGGTTTGAATTTCTTTGAAATATAAATTTTGTAAATTAATAAAATTTAAATTTTGAAATGAAAATAATTATTTAATGATACTTAAAAATTAAATAAGTATAAAATGGAGGAAAAGAGAATTTATTGGAAATTAAGTTGATATAATTATCAAATACTATTAAAATATATTTAAGGGATTTATCTTATTCCATTTATTTAAGGGTACTATTAAGTATTAAAATTGGCTTAAACATATATAATTTAACATAAAACAGCTCCCTTGAAAACCCCTAAAATATAGTATTAGTATTTCATTTTACGCTGGCATACTTTTAGGCATATTTCCTAACATAATTTCCTTTTAATTATAATAAGAAAAAAAGTCAATTTATAAATTATTCAACACTCAGCCTTAAGCCTTATTTTCTATAAAAATTCATATATTTTAAAGGGTATTTCCAGGTCGTTTTGACTGCGTCTGCCATGTGGCCATGTGCCATTTGCCATCTTATTGCTGGTACGGCAATATTTGGGCGACTGCATTTGTGGCACGTATTGCACTTGACAGGACGGCGGACAGCGGACGACGGACAACGGACAGAGGGCGACGGACAACGGACGACGGACAACGGACAACGGACAACGGACAGTAGACAGTGGGCGAGGGAGGCGTGGCTGTGGCATCGCTTAACTGCGACTGGCATCAGCATTTAGCAGCCGCTTCAGCATCAGCGTCAGCATTGCCAATGTCTCGCCGCTGCCTTTAATTACTTTTTCGATATTGACTGCACGCGGTTTCCCCTCCAAAACAAAAAAAAATCACAAAAAAACGCCCACGTGGGACACGCCCACCGCCTCTCTTTTTCTTGGCCCGATCCCCAATTTCAAATCAAGCCATAACCCTACAAAGCCTACAGCTAAAAGCAAAATAACAGGACCGGGAAAGACACTTAATTGTAAACCAAAAAGAAATAATCATATTAATATTAGTAATACAGTTCTTAATGGGTGGTTCATTTTTAATAAATATAAAGCGCAATTAAATAAATAAAATTTGTATTAGCAAGTTTAATAAACTTTTAAGACGTTAATTAATAAGAAATTACCTGAAACTTCTTGGTTTTCAACATCCTGAGCCTATGTAGATATAAAATATAAAGAAAAGCTATAGAAACAAATAAATGCATACATACTAATATAATTAAATAAATAAGCAACCAAATAAAGTAAACTAATTACGGAAAGTCGTTGTTTTTATACATTTTTTCAGTAGGAAATTTATCATATCATATTATGATTAAATATAAAGCGTAATTAAATAAATAATATTTGCATTAGCAAGTTTAATAAACTTTTAAGACGTTAATCAATAAAAAAAATTACCTGAAATCTTTAATTGTTCTTCTTGGTTTTAAGCATCCTGAGTCTATGTATAAAATATAAAGAAAAGTTATAGAAACAAATAAATACATACATTAAAATATAAATAAATAAATAAGCAACCAAATAAAAAAATTCTTAAACTAGAAAGTAAGCTAATTTCGGAAACTGGTAGTTTTTATAAATTTTTGCAATAGGATTTATCAACGCAAGTTAATATATCACAACTTAGTCTTAACCTAGGCCTGATCCGTCCTATAGCTATATAGATACATGATATTACCGCAGTGGAGGACACATGGTTACCAATTTCTTTGCATTGCTCAATTCCTTGGATAATCATCGAGGTGAACTTTTTCCTGATCATCCATTGATAGGTGATATATATTTGGGGTCGAAGAGTAATCACTAACATTACACCACTCCTAATAGATGTTATCACCAGTGCGGCCTCGGACGGAATGAGGCGCAAGGCCTGCAGCGCCTCTATTTATAATCCCCGAGTGAGGAGAACAGAGAATGTGAGAGCGAGGGAGTAAGAGCTATCACTGGAGAAAGGCAGTGAGAATTAGAGAGAAAGAGATGCCTCTCCAGATACACAGAGGCAGGCATACTGATTAAGGTAGAGGTAAAGAGCGAGTGAGAGAGCGACTGAGGGAGCGAGTGGGAGAGCGAGAGTTATTATTCTAAATTGCTTATTCTTATTATTTAATTTATTTTTAATTGAGATAGAGTAAATTAGCCACAGTTTTGCATTTTACTCTACACTTAACGATCACGTTTATGGCAGCTTATGATATATTCGTCCGATTTTATGAATAAATAACTGCCAACAAATTTATTGAAAATCACCAATGCATATACTTTGCATCCGCCAGCCAATCTTATCGATAAATCAAAGTTTTTGAAACATCATAACTAAGTCAAAAATGAATTAATTTCAATTCGGAACAGCTTCTGTTAGTTTTTAACAGGTTAACAAATCTGCATACAAATTTAAAAAATATCAAAATTTTATAAATTTTTGCAAATTTTAACGATGTAACCCCTTTCCTTTTTTTCCAACAAATTGTTTTCTCTTCGAAGATAACTAGAAAGATTCGCCTATTGATGCTGATCAAGAATATATATGATTTATGGGGTCGGAAATGATTATTTCACTGCACAACAAGCTTTAGAATAACATTAAAATACCCTGTATGATCTTGATATAAAAGATAAAGATATTCAACTTACAACTTACAAAAGAACATATTTAATGCTATTATTGTGCCCATGACTGTTGTTTGCAGGGACATTCCCCTTTTAATTTCCTGCTCTAAGCCTGGCAACTTGTTGCTAACCACTGGCAATGCGTTGGCAACATGTTGCTGTGCGTGGGGCACCGCGTGGTGAGTTTCTCATTTGAAACTGGCTTATTGAAATTTGATATTGCCTTTATTTATAGTTGCTGTTGGATGTTGTTGTCCCAGACCTGGCCGAGATGAATTTCTGACCCATAAATAATTGGAGTGAACAATGCCGAGCGCAACGAATTCGAAGTTGAAGCGGGGCCCAGGGTGGTAGGGCATCGGTACACACAACATGGCCATAAATCTGAAGCGGACTGCATTTAATCTGGCTTAAACACGCATTTTCTTGACAATTTCACAGTAAACTGTTCACTTAACATGTCCCCAAGAGCTTGTAGCCGTTCGTTTCCGCTTCGATCCGTTGTGTTTTCGGGGAAAATGAACTCTCAGAGAGCCATAATTAATACATGATTCGGTGAATAAATCAAACGAATGCCAGCGGTAAATCAAGCTCAAATGCAAGCTCAAGAACCCGGCGGTCACCAAAATGAACTCCGCCACCTCAAGATGAATCTTCTAGGGCATCAAACGAGTTAATTAGGCGTAAGCTGAACCAGGAACATATGTGGTAAAAGGAATGGAGCGAATAGGAGATACCCTTTAATATATGCCCCAAGTAATTTACGTCTGAAAATCCCCCTAAGGGATTCCCCTAATACCGAAATCCCCATTTAAATATGAGAAAAATACGTTTACTCAATGGAATATCTTCAATGAGTAAGGATTCCCTCAAGGAATGCCTTTCTGGACAGGCAAAAGTCAAGCGATTTGACCGTTAAATTCCCGCAAAAGGGGAGGAGTACTTCAAGGGTAGGAAGTGGTTGTGGAAATGGCAGTGGGAGTAAGTGGTTTCACCCCACTCACACACACACACACACACACACACATGTCAGTAAGCCTATTTTGTCTCTTGACCTCATTCCTCGTCTGGGCTTTCACTTTCCCCAAAGCGCTGGTTGCCGTTTCTTTGCTGTTTCCGCTTCCGCCTGGCCAACTCCGGACTCGGGATTCCCCAGTCCCTGAGTTCTAAATCCTGAGACCAACTTCCGAGTCCAACTCCATTGGCAAATGCTAAGTAGTTTCGCTTTTAGTGCAAAACACTTGCTTGCTGTTCAACACCGCCTCTAGCCCACTTTTCCACATCCACATCCGTATCCACATCCATGCTCAGTCCCAGTCCCATTCCCTTGTTTTCCTTGTCGCCACTTCACATTTTGTTTGACTTTGATATTTGCCACACTCGAGGGTTGCAAAGGTTTTATTTTGTTTGGCCATGGAAAAGGGGAGTGGGAAGCGAAAGCCTGTGTATGCTTGGCAATTTCCTCAAGAGGATTCTCGTTGGGAAAGCTTCAGCGAATGGATGGATGGACAGACATTTGGATGGATAGACGACGCACTGCCCTAATCAATGGAATTGGCCCCTGACCGGGGATCAGATCGAACCAAACTCCGCATCCATCCGCCGCGGGAGGTCATCAAAGGAATATGTATGTATGTACTATATATCCATCGTGCCACAGAGGCTCATCCATCCCACGGGGGCTGTGACTATGGCAACACCCGGAATGCAAAGTCAACTCTGGAGCG